TATAGAGACAGGTTTCTGAATATTGCCTAGGCTAGTCTTGAACTCCTGGACTCAAGCAATCCTCTTGCCTCAGCCTCCCAAAGTGTCCAACCTCCCTCAGGCCTTTTGAACCCACGCTTTTTGCTGTAATGAAGTCACTGGAATGCTTGGAACCCAAGGAGTGACCGCATGAGTTTGTGGGGCAAGCATACCCGCCTTCCGTGGGAAACGACAGTATTTCACACACCCAGACTGTCTGACGGGAAGAACATTCCAAACAATCCAACATTTCCATGTAAATCAAAGCAGGAAGAAAAGTTCAGGCAGAGGCTTTGGGGATAGAACCTGGGAGGGGGGTGCGGGGGGGCCGGGGTGTCACTAAGCCACCTGTACTCCTGGGAGCACATGTGCCTCAAGGCTTTTCATCTTCAGTTAAGACAATGTGGAGAATGGTAGAAATGTTGAGAGCTTTGGACCCAACTCTTCCACTTCCAGCAGGATGACCTTGGGCAGGTGACATCACCTCTCCAGTATCGGTTGACTCCTGTGAAAGTTGGGGACCATATTGCCCACTTCACAGATTGGGTGGGTGACTCAGCACCAAGCCTAACTCAGTGCCTCACAACAACAGTGAGAGCTTCACAAAAGATAAGATAATAACATCCTTCAAGGCCAGGCACAGTGGCTCATCCCTGTAATCCCAGCACTCTGGGAGGCTGAGGCAGGAGGATTGCTTGAGCCCAGGAGTTCAAGACCAGCTTAGGCAATATAGTGAGACCTTGTCTCTACAACAAAAATCAAAAGATTAGCCAAGCATGGTGATGCATGCCTGGAGTCCCAACTACTCAGGAGGCTGAGACAGGAAGATCACCTGAACCCAGAAGGCCAACGTTGCAGTGACCCATAATTGTGCCACTGCACTCCAGCCTAGGCAACAGAGTGAGACCCTGACTCAAAAAAATAATAATAACATCCTTCAAACTTTGGGATATGTTTTGAAGTTGATAGATTAAGATTGACTTTCTTAAACTGAGGCTTTTCCCCTTCCTCCAGGCAGATTTTTTTCTTTTTCTTTTCTTTTTTTTCTTGATGATTGAGCCTGGCCAGTTTTTGTTTGTTTGTTTGTTTGTTTTAAGATGAAGCACCCATAAGTTTGGGGAGTGGGAGGGAAACTATTACATTATAAGTTCAGCCTCTTAATGTTGTAAACATTAGTCAGCCGGGTGCGGTGGCTCAAGCTTGTAATCCCAGCACTTTGGGAGACAGAGGTGAGAGGATTGCCTGAGTCCACGGGTTCGAGACCAACCTGGACAACATGGCAAGACCTTGTTTCTACAATAAATAAAAAAAAATTGGCTGGGTATGGTGGCGCATGCCTGTGGTTCCAGCTCCTTGGAAGACTGAGGCAGAAAGATTGCCTGAGCCCAGCAGGTTGAGGCTGCAGAGCTATGATTGTGTCACTGCACTCCATCCTGGGCGACAGAGTGAGACACCGACTGAAAAAAAAAATCAGTCTATCAACAGATACAGACTGAACCTGAGAAAATCCTGAGTTGAGCTGTGGGGAAGGAGAGCGGGATGATGGTGATTCTTGGCACTTCTCAGTTTATTCCTGGGTACCAAGTGCTGATCGTGCCAGAAGCAGTGGAAACTGCACAGCAGGCCTGGGAGGCAGGGGGTGCCCACTGTTTGCAGGGGGGATCAGACTCAGAAAAGGGAAGAGACTTGCCCAAGGCCATACAGTAAGGCAGGGATAGAGTGGCGATTAAAGCCCAGATTGCCCCAGTCCAAGCCAAACTCTCCTGTGTGCCCTAGCAACAGCAGGCTCCTGAACCTTGTCTCCTCTGCTCACTATGCTCCAGCTAGCTGGGGTTTTTTTGTTTTTTGTTTTTTTGAATCAGAGTCTCACTCTGTCACCCAGACTGGAGTGTAGTGGCACCAGAACCACAGGTAAGTGCCACCACACCCAGCTAATTTTGATTTATTGTGGAGATGAGGTCTTGCCATCATGTCAGGCTGGTCTTGAACCCCTGAGTTCAGGCAATACTCTCACCTCTGCCTCCCAAAGTGCTGGGATTACAGGCGTAAACCACAGCGCCTGACTTACTAGCTGGTCTTTTTGCTGTCCTCTGACCATGTCTTGCACTTTCTGACCCCTAGGCCTTTGCTCTTGCCTCTTCAGCCTCCCAACTTTGCTATGATGTCCTTCCCCTTTAATGTAGCCATCCAATGGAACAAGATACAGCCCTTGACAATGATATTGTCAGCCAGGCACAGTGGCTCACACTTGTAATCCCAGCACTTTGGGAGGCCAAGGTGAGAGACTTACTTATGGTCAGGAGTTTGAGAGTTTGAGACTAGCCTGGATTCAACATAGCAAGACCCCATCCTACAAAAAAAAAAAAAAAAAAAGAGGAATGATGTGGTGAGAGTGATTGATGGAACATTGTTCAAAATATATGAAGTTGAAAAGCATGCATACTATGATACAAACTCATACATAATCGTTATGATCTTTTAAAAAATGTGTTTATATCAATTCTATCATGCTGGCTCCTTCCTAGGACCTCCCTTGCCAGGCTGTCAATGCTCTCAGGGCAGGACCTGTTTGCTGAGTTGATCTGGGAGAAATACATGTGTCATAGGTATTCCTGGTAGAGTTGTAGATATTCCACCCAAGGAAAGGGGAGAGATGGTGGGGTGAGGGGTGGGCTGAAAGGTCTTGGCATTCTTCCACAGCACCCAAGGGGTGCCTGCTGGGCCCTACGGGCTTCAGCCGGGGCCATGCCATAGATGGACTTGCTCTTGCTCTGCCCTGTGGCTCAGCTCACCCTGATCATCAGTACCAAGGGCCCAAGAACCCCGAGGCTTGCCTATGTATCAAATACTTAAACCTAGAGGCACACAGAAGAGACAAGAGAATGAGTCTTCATCACTGAAAGTAAAAGGCCAAGCCAGGCACAGTGGCTCACACCTGTAATTCCAGCCCTTTGGAAGGCGGAGGCAAGAGGATTGCCTGAACCCACAGGTTCAAGATCAACCTGGGCAACTTGGCGAGACCTCATCTTTACAACAAATCAAAAACTTAGCTAGGCGTGGTGGCGTATGCCTGTAGTTCCAGCTACTTGGAAGGCTGAGGTGGAAGGATCACCTGAGCCCAGCAGGTCAAGGCTACGGTGGCCATAAGCATGCCACTACACTCTAGCCTAGGTAACAGAGTGAGTCTCGGACTGAAACAAAAATAAAAAGAAAAGCTATGGCCAGGAACAATGTCTCATGCCTGTAATTCCACACTCTGGGAGGCCGAGGCAGGAGGATCACTTGAACCCAAGAATTCAGGACCAACCTGGGCAACATAGCGAGACCGTGTTACTACAAAAAAAAATTAGACCAGGCTTGGTGGCTTAGTCTGTACTCCCAGCACTTTGGGAGGCCAAGGTGATTGGATTGCCTGAGCCCGCGGGTTTGAGACCAGCCTGGGGAACTTGGTGAGACCTCATCTCTACAATAACTCAAAAATTAGCTGGGCATGGTAGCACATGCCTGTAGTTCTGGCTACTTGGAAGACTGAGGTAGAAGGATCACTGGAGCCCAGCAGGTCGACGCAGTGACCATGAGTGTGTGTGCCATTGTACTCCAACCTGGGAGATGGAATGAGACTCCAACGCAAAAAAAAATTAGCCGGATGTGGTGGTGCTCACCTGTAGTCCCAGCTACTTGAGAGGCTGAGGTAGAAGGATCACCTGCCACCACACTCCAGCCTGGATAACAGAAAGAGACCCCCAACTTAAAAAAAATAAAAAATATATATCTACTGATTTATTACAAATGAATAGCCAGAAAAGAAGATACAGAGGACAAGGGCTGCAGAAGTCCCAAGCACAGAAGCTTTGATCCTTATGGAGTTAGAAGATGCTGCCTTTTAGGCACGAGGATGCTTTACCAGCCTAGAAGCTCCCAAGATTTTTTTGTGGTTAAGTTTCCAGTTTCCATTTGAAAACCTGAATGTGGCCTGGCGTGGTGACTCACACCTATAATCCCAGTACTTTTAGAGGCCGAGGTGAGAGGATTACCTGAGCCCACGGGTTCAAGACCACCCTGGGCAACCTGACAAGACTTCATCTCCGCAATAAACCAAAAATTAGCCGGGTATGGTGGCATATGCCTACTTGGAAGGCTGAGGCAGAACGATCACCTGAGCCCAGCAGGTCAAGGCTGCAGTGGCAGTGTGCGTGCCACGGCACTCCAGTACGGGAAACAGAATGAGACTCCAATTAAAAAAAAAAAGAAAATAAAAGAACACCTGAATGTACTTTTTGGATTCAAACTTCCACCATGAAAAATGCTCAGGGTTTTTATTTTTGCTGACCCTGACTCAAAAAAAAAAAAAAAAAAGTCATTTATGCTCACTCTAGGAAATTTGGAAAATTCAGATAAATAGAAGAAAGATCACCCTCTCCCTACTTCGTAGAGAAATGCACTGTAACAATTTGGCTTATTTCCTGGTGACCTTTATATTTCTCTGTGTACAGTTTTATTTTGTTTCTATCATTGCTAAATAAATAAAGCGATGCTTTCTGATTCACAGCTTACAGAGTTGATTTCATGTACACATCACTAGCCTGGTGACGCTTCCAAGAGCACTGACACTTTGTCCCCTCTGGGAATTGTGGAGGTGGGACACACCACCCTCCCCATGTTCTCCCAACACTTTTGAGAATGCTGGCTTCATAGCGCCCTTGCCTGCATCAAGCAGTATCTTTTTAATTTTGTATTTCTTTCAGGTGTCTGAAGTGTCCTTCTAGAACCTAACTCTCTACTTTTTTTTTTTTTTAATCCCAGAGCTGGTGAACATGTGCCCTTCGGTGAACCCACAGTGATCCGTTTGTTTTGCCTTTTCCCGGCTCCTGCATTCTTCGAGTCTTGGTAACTGGAATGTTTTGTCTGCTGAGGCTCAAAACGACCAGTGGGGCAGGAACCAAAGTGAAATACCTCATGAGACATCAAGATGAACCTGGGAAAACTGTGAGTTGCTGACGGAACTGCTTCTCTGAAAGAGTTGGAACTTCTTCTTCTCTCTAGTTGTAAAAGCTCCCCTGGGGGCAACCCGAGATCCAGAATGTTCCCAGCTGGGATGGGGGAAATTCTGAAGTTCTTACTAAACACGTTGATGTCTCAAGCTTTGAAAAGAGCCCAAATGCCAAAGGCAAGAATCCCAGGGCATGACCCACGCTGGTGTGATACCCCAATAATTGTCTAACAAATTCAGCATGTATCCCCTGGGCTTGACCATCTGCTGGGCCAAGTTCCAGAACACTGAGGCATTGTGGGATTCATGTGGTCTAGGAAAGACCTTTAACTGTCAGTTGCTAGTCGCTTTGGCGTTCCTCAAGTAGTCAGGTCCTGAGGTCTTTTCGCCGAGGTCTGTCCTGCTGTGTGGCTGAAGCAGAAGGATGACCTTGCTCTGCAGGCAGCACAGCCTTGAACGGAAAAGCCGCGTCTGTGGAAGTCTATGGGGAGAGAGAGCCACCTAGCATGTCCCCCCCCAACCAGTCGGCAGAAGGCCTTCCCCTGGAGGCCTCCAACAGGTCCCTGAACGCCACGGAAACCCCAGAGGGCTGGGATCCGGGGACCCTCCGGGCGCTCCAGATCTCCCTCGCCGTGGTACTCTCCATCCTCACGCTGGCCACCGTCCTCTCCAATGCCTTTGTGCTCACCACCATCTTGCTCACCAGGAAGCTCCACACCCCGGCCAACTATCTGATCGGCTCTCTGGCTACCACCGACCTCTTGGTTTCCATCTTGGTCATGCCCATCAGCATTGCCTACACCACCACCCGCACCTGGAGCTTTGGCCAGATCCTGTGTGACATCTGGCTGTCCTCTGACATCACGTGCTGCACGGCGTCCATCCTGCACCTCTGCGTCATTGCTCTGGACAGGTACTGGGCCATCACCGATGCCCTGGAGTACAGCAAGCGCCGGACCGCAGGCCACGCGGCCACCATGATCGCCGTGGTCTGGGCCATCTCCATCTGCATCTCCATCCCGCCGCTCTTCTGGCGGCAGGCCAAAGCCCAGGAGGAGATGTCGGACTGCCTGGTGAACACATCTCAGATCTCCTACACCATCTACTCCACCTGCGGGGCCTTCTACATCCCGTCCGTGCTGCTTATCATCCTCTATGGCCGCATCTTCCAGGCTGCCCGGAACCGCATCCTGAATCCGCCCTCGCTCTACGGGAAGCGCTTCACCACCGCCCACCTCATCACAGGCTCCGCGGGGTCCTCTCTCTGCTCGCTCAACCCCAGCCTCCACGAGGGCCACGCGGCCGGCTCCCCTCTCTTTTTCAACCCTGTAAAAATCAGGCTTGCAGACAGTGTCCTGGAACGCAAGCGAATTTCCGCGGCTCGAGAAAGGAAAGCAACAAAGACCCTGGGGATCATCCTGGGGGCCTTCATCATCTGCTGGTTGCCCTTCTTCGTGGCGTCTCTGGTCCTCCCCATCTGCCGGGACTCCTGCTGGATCCACCCAGTCCTCTTTGACTTCTTCACTTGGCTAGGCTATTTAAACTCCCTCGTCAATCCGGTCATCTACACTGTGTTTAACGAAGACTTTCGGCAAGCTTTTCAGAAAGTGGTCCATTTCCGGAAAGCCTCCTAGTCTTCTTGGGTGGTGACTCTTGTTATCTTTGGTGTCCTGTGACCTAACTGGGATGGTCTGTCTTTACTTTTCCAGAGACTTGGGTTGATTTATGATATCTCGGGTCTTGGTTCAACTGACAGAATTGCTCTTTGGTGTTTTTTTCTGCTGTCTTCCTGACTTCTGAGTCACCCAAAGCTGGGCTGCTGGGTGAAAGGGGACAGGACTGAAGATTTCACTTAGCACAATATTTTCACAGTTTCTCTGTGCTGGAAGAAATGTGACCCACAGGATCCCCTGTTGATACAGTTCAGGCGACTGTCTGGCTCTGTAGAAAAGACCCCAGGCTCAAAGGGAAGGCTCTCTGGCCTGCCTGAGATCTGAATGGAGCTCAAAGGAGGGTAGGTAAGATGAATGACTTGAATTGAAAGAGAATTTGGAACCAGGATGAAGGAGTCTCCATTCCACATGACACCTTGATTAGAAAATAATACCCCTCACGCCTATAATCCCAACACTTTGGGAGGCTGAGGTGGGAGGATCACTGGAGGTCAGAAATTTGAAACCAGCCTGGGCAACATAGCAAGACCCCATCTCTACAAAAAAATAAAAGAAAATAATACCCATGCATTTTTTCCATTGAGTCCTCTTACCATTGAATTTCTCCTAGTTGTCCATGAGGAGAAAGTTCATATTTGAGGAACCAATGATATAGAGTGATTTGAAGAGATGTTCAGGGAGTGGGGAGCAAGACAGTTGGGTCCAGACTGACTACCCTGTACCCTTCCTTCTTCAATATTGCTGCATCATCTTAGTGCTCTGAATCTGAAAATCATGATCACCCCACTGAAACAGATTGATGGTCTTTGGACCTACCAAGCTGTGAGTGGGACACCATTCTGAATTTTTTTTTCTGAAATTTTTTTTTACGTCCCGTTAGAGATCTGAGATCTCATTAAAGATGCTGAGTCTTATTAAATAAAAAAGCATGAGACATCCTGACCAATAAAGTCTTTGGGTGATCTTTTCCCTCCCCTGGATGTAGAAACCACTCAACTCAATTCAGTCTCTAGCATTTATTGAGCACCTACCACATGCCAGGCCCCATGCCTAAGACTTGGCATTTGTTATTTCCTTTTTTTTTGAGTTGGAGTCTCACTCTGTTGCCCAGGCTGGAGTGCAGTGGCACACTCATGGCCACCCCAGCATAGATCTGCTGGACTCCTGTGATCCTTCCGCCTTAGCCTTCCAAGTAGTTGGAACTACAGGCGCGTGTTATCACATCAGGTTAATTTTTTATTTTATTGTAGAGACGAGGTTTTGCCAAGTTGTCCAGTTGGTCTCAAACCCGCGGGCTCAGGCAATCCACTCACCTCGGCCTCTCAACATGGTGAGAGGATTGCCTGAGCTCAGGGGTTCAAGACCAGCCTGAGCAACATGATGAGACCTCATCTCTACAAGAAATCAAAGAATTAGCCAGGTGTTGTGGCATGTGCCTGTGGTTCCAGTTACTTGAAAGACTGAGGCAGAATAATTGCCTGAGGCCAGTAGGTCGAGGGTGCAGTGGCTGTCAGCATACCACTGCACTCCAGCCTGGGTGTCAAAGCAAGGCTCTGACTCAGAAAAAAGCGGGGCGGTGGGAGGGAATAATACTAGGTATGTTATTGTGTAAATTACTACAGTGTTTAGCACAAGAGCTCTTAAACTGACCTACTCAAGATCAAACGGCAGTAGAAAAATAATGGCTGAGGCCCAGATGCCATGGCTCATGCCTATAATCCCAGTACTTTGGGAGGCCGAGGTGAGAGGATTGCCTGAACCCACAGGTTCGACACTAGCCTTGGCAACTTGGTGAGACCTCATCTCTACAATAAATCAAAACCTTAGCTGGTCATGGTGGTATATGCCTGTAGTTTCAGCTACTTGGAAGGCTGCGGCAGAAGGATTGCCTGAGCCCAGCAGGTTGAGGCTACAGTGACCATGAGCATGCCACTGCACTCCAACCTGGGTGGCAGAGTGAGACGCCATCTCAAAAAACAAAAACAAAAAAAAGACTGCTGTTTATTATTTATGTATTTATTTTAGATAGGAAAATATAATTTATTTAGAAAGTAAATTAGAGAGAGAGAGAGAGGGGAGATTCACCTCCCCAAGATAGGGGAAGGGACCAAAGCTTGGGTAACATGGTGGCCATAGCTCAAAGAGCTACATGGCCTCACCAGAGTTTAGTAAAGCAATGGCCACGCTGCTATTTATTAAGTGCCTGTAGTGCTCCTTACATAAGTTTTCTCATTTACTCATCATTCTTATTTTTTATTTCTTTTTTTTTTTTTTTTTT